CGAAAATTTCGACCATGTGGGGTTCTTTAACGTATACGCTAACATCGTGCAGTAGTCAGGCCTTGGGCATGTCACCTCCACCGAAATGTCCCCAACTTTCGGGGTCGCAGCAGAGCGTCATAACCGCTGAACCATCACGACCACCAAAAAAAACGGGGGGGGGGGGGGGGGAGGCAGAAGGTTATGCGAGTACATTCGCAGTTCGCTGTCGTAAAGTTAATTGATTGCATACACACATATGTATGAAAATGTTGAAGGTTGGTCAGTAAATCCAACTGATGCACGAATTAGCTTAGCCTAATGATCTTGTTTAGAAGCCTGAAACAAAGGACGAAAGTCATGTCTTCGCCTTTCTCCGAGGTCGATTGTCCTGCGACGGGAAATCTTCTAGCAATACTAATCTTTGGCAAGCCCACGCACATCCCATCTGCGGAAAACTACTCTAGGGCATCCGCTATAGCTGGGTCCTTGAAGGGAGCACGAGTAAATTTTGATGTCTTGCATGTCTCACGAGTCGTATAGGCAGAAAGAAAATTTAAACAATTAGAAATTCATGAATAGCACTTTCTAGATATTCAACTGAAGAATGTATAAGTGTAGAACCCTTGTTTAGTGAAGGCTTCCTGGGAACCACCATAATTCTTTCGTGGTTGTTGCAAATAAACGCGATTTCCCAAGAATAGATAACTTAGGCTATGACGTCAGCCCTTGTATTCGTCTGCAACTGTGCCGAAAAGAGGTGCTCGTCTTAGATTTCTTTTTAGGGGCGAAGCTCCTTATAGCGGCTCCCATTCGTCCCTCATAGCCGTTGTAGTAGTGTGTAACAAGTATAACATTTTGACCTCCAGGGTGGTGCCGGTGACAGATTTCTTCTGTGAGTTGTTGAACAATGAAAGATAGTGCTCAATGTACATGCCAATGGCTGCTAAGAGGAAATGAGAGACAAGAGAATTCGGCTTTTAGTTAACGCGCACGCTGCGAATTTTTTATTGTTAAACAACGCACAGAAGAACAGAAAGGGTTGTTACGTTATACTCGCTAGGCGTAACCTCCTAGTTTTTATAAAGGCTTAGCGAGCGTTGGGCCGCAGTGCCATGAATACAGTGAACTAGTGCACACCATGAACTTGAGGTGGTTAAAGGTGGGAAGTAGACACGAAGCCAAAGTCGTAAGAAAGTGTGTGTGCCTCCTTTCGTTCAGTCCTTGGAATGTCGCTGGATGGCGGTACTTCTATATGAGGAATATATGATGAAAAGATGCGAGATGGAGGTAATTGGAGTGTTGAATAGATGGACGAACAGACACACAGACAGATGCATGGACGGACTCACGGATGGCTGCACCGACGGATGGACGCATGGACGGACGCAGGAGCGGATGCATGGACGAAAGCAGGGACGGATGCACAGAAGAACGTGCGGACGCATGCACGAACAGACGCACGCACGGACGGGCGGATAGACGCCCGGGTGGCAACACAGACGCAAGCATGGATGGACGGAAGCAAGAACGAATGGACGGACGAATGCTTTGCCCCGCTCTTCATCATTCACTACGGGGATATGCTGCCATTTTTTTTTTTTTCTGAAGACACGCACGAGCTACGCGACAGTGCACCTTTCGTACTTGATTTTAAGGCACGAAAAAAAGGCGCAATCACACGAGAGAACACACGATAGAGTGACCAACTTATTTTTTTTTTTTTTTGCAAGAATACACGTACACGTATATAATTGTCAGCGCGTGCACATACAACACATTCACATCGAGAGTTAACGCATGCCCAATAAACTTTTTCTCGCATTTATACCGCACACAAAGTATCACTGAAGGGTTATTAAAAAAAATTGCTTGAGTGGATATGTTTGCCCAGAATTGAAGCCGTTTTTCTGGCAAGATAGCGGCTGTGGCAGCCATCTTACTAGGGGCATGGTAAATATCACCGTTTAGCGATTACAAACGAAGCATTTTTCTCGCACGCCCAACGAGTTAAAGTGGACACGTTTTCGGATCAGATAGTGCTCCAAGTGCATCTTAATGTTGCCAGTTTTCCTAAGTGAGCCTCTAATTGGAGGCAAAGTTCTTTGAAGATTCAGTCATCCATACTCGTTTCTGTGTGTTATTTCGTCAGGAACAAATATATATTTTAACATAGAACTAACGTAGTATTTACATAGAACTAAAGTAGAACTAACGGATATAGAACTAACGTAGCATCAAAGCCACTTGATCTTTAAGTGGGCACTATCAGAAAAGAGCCTGTTTCCGCAATTTTGGCAGTGGCAAAAAGTGGCTTCACTTCTGCTGGCAAGGCATTGCGGGAGCTTCCACTCCAGCAATTTTTCTTTAATCCCCCTTGGTATCAGTAACCAACATGCCACCATTTTGCCGGTATTAAACTCTTCCATCAGTTCTTTCCGTGGATGCTCTATCTTTGCTTCCGGCGGTAACCCATCCTTGAGAAAAGAATGGTTAGAGGGCGATTTCTGATGTGCCTAGATTAGTTAAAAAAGATGCACGCCTCGTGACCTTAAACACATCTCTCTGTTTCTCCAAACGCACTGATTTCAAAGCAATACACGCGCGGACATGTCGGCCCCAATAACTACCGAGCGCGCCATGTTCACATCAGGCAATGGAGTGACACTTGGGCCTATAAGAGATTGCCGAGTCTGACCCCCGTATTCATAAACGCTCCTCGACTCGAATTCCTACTTCACTTGACTGAGTTGAGCATTGCGCCACTGCTCGACTGAAATTGACACTGCGCTTGTCAAGAATCGCTGCAGAATATTGCCAATATGCAGCGACTTGGTATCCCCAAAGACGGCGCTCCCATCGACTTTTTCGGTAAAGCACTGAGTGAAGGAACGTTCTGAAATGAGGCGGCGAATATTTCTTGCAACTTCCAGGCCACGTGCTGCGCTATATTTGGCTCACGTGTTTTCGGGAGCCCCGACTACCGACCGGCAGCGTTTTCTGACCATGCTCAAAAAGTGTGGCACCACCACTTATTTTTTTTCTTTCTTCTTGCATGGCAGGATGCATGCGCTCTGCTTAAGTAGCTAGGGTATAGCAAGCTTATTTCAAGTTGTTCCTCCATCCCCCCTCTGTCCCATTGCCCTCCAAGGGCCACATTGAGTTACTCATTCATTCATTCATTCATTCATTCATTCATTCATTCATTCATTCATTCATTCATTCATTCATAGTGCTGTAAAAAAGTTCGCCTCCTAGTATAGTAGTGGTGCCGTAAAACTTTGCACTTTGCACTTTGCACTTTGCACTTTGCACTCAAATTAACGTATGTTATCAGGCTGCTATTTGGAGCAATGCCAGTGCCAGAAAAATCGCTTTACAGCGAGATTATTTTGCACGTTCCAGTCGAATGTCACGCCTCAGTCATGAAATCAAGAAAGCAATAAGTCTGTCCGACATATTCACAAATTCTGCTGCTGTAATGCTTTTCCCCGTTTGCATGAATCTGTGGCAATGATTTTTTTAATGAGAAGCCATCGCTACTTGCGACCGCAGTGTACCAGCGGGCAGCGACCACTGAAATCAGCTTTAATTACACCGTACTTAGATTGTACTAGGCATATGCTAGCTACTAGGTGTGTGTCTAGGCCCGTGTGCTCAGATTTGGGTGCACGTTAAAGAACCCCAGGTGGTCTAAATTTCTGGAGCCCTCCACTACGACGTCTCTCATAATCAAATGGTGGTTTTGGGACGTTAAACTCCACATATCAATCAATCATCAATCAGCTACTAGGTGTGCAGTTAACAAGGGTATGCAGATACCTGAAACTTGTTTCCTATTAAATGAACACCTCGGCACGACACAAGGGCTGATATCACTTTACTATGGTATGTTGAATGCCAATGGCAGATCGCGAGCGCTGGGCCGGATCGCGAATGGAGTTCGCATCCGAGCGGGATTGCCCTCGCCGAATCTGCGATTGGAGCACGCGCCTCTCGACGGGAGCTCTTGGTGAGCGGAAATCTAGCGAGGGAGCACGAGAGGGTGCGAGAGAGTGCAAAGCCTTTTCCGGACATCCATCGGTGATTGGATGAAAGGCGGGCGCACAGAATACGTCACTTGAACTTCCGGTCAAATCCGCCGATTTCGGTGGAGCAAGAATACCTGCTACACGGAGCAATCAATGATCTGCGGTTGCTCTCAACCCTCCCGTCCTCGGACTCCTGTGACCGTGTTTCCATCTTTCCTATCTCTCCTATCCCCTCGATATGTCCTCGCTCGCTGGCTTAGCGCATCTCTCTTTCTCTCTCTCTACACCTTTATTCCTATCCTTTTAATCCCTCCTAACCCCCCTCCCTTGTGAGCCACTGCTCAGGTGTCGCACGCTGATGCAGACAGTTACGGGGCTCACTTTTCTCTTCTTTTCCTTCTTATAAGCACAAACACCCCCCCCCCCTCTCCGGTTGCTCTCAATCTGCCATTGGAACACACAATGCACGCTCCCAATCTACCATTGGAATGTGATTACTCAGCTCAAAGCAGAAAAACTTCATCTGGATCTGTCGTTCCAATTAAACAGTAGTCATTCAGTATCGCTTTCAGTGTTTCGGCTTCGAACAAAGCTGTTATATTTTGTTTTTTAATGTAGAGTAAAGGTGACGTTGTTATTTCCGAAAGTAGTACTGTATAGGCAAAACCATTAACTAAAAAAGAAACTGTAGGGACTTTCCCAGACACGAACGCTTACTATATTGAACTAAAATTCTTCCTGAAGTTCAGGTTCTTTCCGTTTTGACGTTAGCCCATTCCTCGCGAAGGCATCACTACTAAAACGTCCCGGCTACTCTGACGGGAGCGTTGTTCACAATGAATGTTTCGTCGGGTACAACGCTCTCGTTAGCACAGACAAAGCGTCTCTCAGTTCATGTTCTCCTCTAGTCGTTTTCATCTGTGTGTGTGGAACAGCTGGGCTTTCTCCAGTGTAACACGGGGAAAGAAGGAAGTAAAGCAGGCACGTCACCTATGACTTCCAGCAGCACCTCGGCGTACACGAGAGGAGTTGGAACCTGGAGGCGGTACTGCAGCGTCTTCAACACGCGCAGTTCGGACTGCATCACGCTGTGGTGGCTGTACGAGTAGCCGGCCTCCTTCAGCGCGTCCCGAACGTCCGCACTGCTCAGGCCCTGCAAAAGAAACTTGTGCTCCTTTTTCCCGATTCCCAAGAACACAGGAGAATCGTCGGACAACACAATGGAACTATATTGGGAACAGTCAAAGTACGCGTGAAGGCATATAACAGAGTGAGGTGGACGCATACAGTAGTACACATGCATTTATTTCATTTTCACAAGAGCTGACTGGTAACATCAGAGAATTTCGGAAAGAAGTTTAAGGGATCGTTCTTTCTTTATACAGAATATTAATGTTCTCGTTAATTAAATCATGTTGGTATCATAAGCGTGATTTTCGCACAGAGTACGTTCTTTGGTACACCCGAGAAACTATAGTGTAACGTACTGCGCAAGCACGAAGAAAGAAAGCAGAAAGAGCTGCTTCATTTCAAGGCTTTGTGCTTGAGCCGCATACACTACGAGTTCAATTATACGAACTAAGTAGCCTGAAAATTGGCTTATTCCTACGAACTCGTCCACAAGGTGGCGAAGACCAGCGAGTGCCCATACATTCAGGCACCATATAGAGCCGTGATCGTTCAGCCATCCAGCATACAAAAATCTAATGCTACGAGGAAGATATAAAAATAACGCAAGCATCCAAGCACGTGACGGCACGTGAGTACCTTTCGTACGGTCAATTCCATTCTAAAGCGGCTAGGACATCACTCTCAAAGTTGAATTATTGCAATAACTCACACGCGTCCCACAGCATGCCAGCAAGGTTATATCACATTCGGCGGAAATAAAATTTTTTAACAAACTTTTTTTTTGCTGTCACGCTTTAGATATAGTTGTGTGGTAATCGTAATCAGGTTTAATAACTTCGTCACATGAAGCGCTACTGAGGCAAACTTAGAAGACGGATACAGGTTGACGAGCGTTGCATTTAGAAAGCGAATTTCATTTGGCCCTCTCTGTGCTTTGTACGCCGCCAGGCGTGCGCTTGGTTTCCCTTTGAATGGGGGGGAGGGGTGAAGGTTTGCCGCAGCGCCCCCTTCCTATTATGTCAGTCCCTCACAAAAATGGGTTTGACCTTCCTGTCACCCACGAGTCACCTATCAGTCACCCCAGTCACCTTCCTGTAAACTTGACCTTTATGTAGACCTGGTCTGCGGATTTTGAGCAGACGCCGAGCAGACGGCAAGCATACTTTTCTGATAATGTGCATCCATATTGCGTGCATGTAGACGTATGTGACATCTATGTATGTACCTACACACTTCTGAAGATGGCGAATTTGATCATAATGATCTAATTGGTTTCACCTTTCGATCACCTATCAGTCACCCACCAATCACCCCCGTACTGACTTCGTCTGCAGATTTTCTGCAGATGCCGAGTAGAGGGCAAGCAGACTTGTCTGTTAATCTGGGCCCTTTGAGCGCGTGTGTGGATGCATATAGTATATGCATACATTCGGGGTCATGACACCATTGACAACATTAACTAAATGGACTTCACCTTTCAGTCACCTATCAGTCTCCCAACCTTCAGCCCCCCTACATACCTGGCCAGCAGATTTTCTGCAGACGCCGAGCAGACTTGTCTCTTTATGGTGTGCATGTGTGCTTGGGTGGATGTATGTATTACATACGTATATATCTACACATTCTGGGTCATGACACAACTGATAATAATAACTAAATGAACTTCACATATCAGCCACCAACCAGTCACCTAGCAGTCACCCCCGTACAGACCCAGTCAGCAGAATTTCTGCAGAGGCTGAGCAGACAGCAAGAAGACTTGTCCGGTAATGCGGGCCCTGGGAGTGCGTATATATATATATATATATATATATATATATATATATATATATATATATATATATATAATATATATATATATATATATATATATATAACATACAATAATGCCAAGGAATGCATCGGGGAAGGTTATAAGATCAATTGTAGTGTAAATGTGAAGAAGAAACATGGGTGAAAAGACAACTTGCCGTGACCAGGAACCAAACCTGCGACCTTCGAATAACGCATTCCGTGCTCTACCGCTGAGCAGCCACGGCGGCTATCCGCCCAGCCACATTATGAGGTTCATATGTGAACTTAAACATGGGAGTGTCAGTCAGCGCCACCTGTAACCATGGAGGCGAGTGTGGCGCACTCTTTATCAGCCTGTTTGGCGTGACGTAGCACGTGAACTTAATAAGAGCTGGCAGCTGGTAGTCTCTTGTATACAACCTAACGGCACCAACTTTGCCAGTACGAGACCCTCAATAATGAATAAGGGAAAGAGGTGTATACATAAGAGCCCATTTTCCCGTCTTTTGACACAATATTCATGAGATATAATACACAATATTGCCAATGAATGAATAGGGGAAGTTATTAGACCAAGAGCATCGAACGCGTTATTCGAAGGTCGCAGGTTCGCTTTCTGCTCACGGCAAGTTATCTTTTCACCCACTTTTCTTTCTTCTCAATTAAATTACAATTGGTCTAATATATATATATATAATATATATATATATATATATATATATATATATATATATATATATATATATATATATATATATATATATATATATATATATATATATATATATAATAAATCATGACAAATTATATAACAGTAACTAAAGGGGCTTAACCTTTCAGTCAACCACCAGTCACCCTAGTCTTCAGGTTGTCTGCAGAAAAGCTGCAACTTTTATGCAACCAAAAACAAGAGTCTGTCAGCTGGTAATTAAATGTCACTAATTAAAAGAGCATAGCACATTTCACCAATGTAAATTAAAAGATCTGTGTATGTTATTGTTACCTCATGGCAACCGTAGTTCTCCGCGTATTCTTTGTAGGTATAAATGTGAAATTTTGAAGCATAGGAATTTTTCTACCGGCACTCAATGGCCGGTCAAAATGCCATGGCTATATGTACCAGGTAGCCGTTGTTAGGTAGTGAAGTACGAGCGCTTACGTGTTTGGTATTTACTTTGCTGCCGTTGCATTTGGCACGCGTTTGGTGGGTGTATGGGCCGTATTATACCCTTCGGTGCTGCATGTTTCTTAAATGTTTGTGCAAACGCAAATCATGGCTATTATTACTTCTTGTTCACCGCGGTAAAGCCTGTTTCACATGCGAGCGATTTTGGCCCAAGAGCAGAGCGACAGCCGCCGCGCAAGGCTAAAACAGGTTTTTACCGCGGCGACTAGACGCCCTTGTGAAATTCGCCCGAGTTGGAAAAATTCGCTAGCGGCACAAGCGGCAGAGCGACCAGTGACGTCGTTTGACACGTGATGACGGGGGTGGAGTCGAGAAGTTGACGCGCACGCTGCGAGGAACTGGTTCCACAGAACAACTCGCTCCGACTGAGTAGCAGACGACATCCGTCCTTTCCCCAGCCCACAAATGTCTCGCTCTACTTTCAATGAGTTGTTGATTGCTGAAGTTGCTAAACGACCTATTCTTTGGGACATAAAGAGTAAACGCCGCATGGCACGCCGTACTTCTCGGTCGCAGCAAAATTTCTTGGTTCAACAAAAGATGAAACTGTTCACACGGCGCATAGCTGCCAGGGCTCACATGAACGAGAGAACAAGATGGGTGCTACAGCAGTCGACTTGAGATGTAGCATTCCACGCAAGTCACTGAAAAAGAATTTCGTGACGTGGCTCAACAAGGAGGGGGCACGAAGCGTGTACGGTTCGGGGAACTAAGGCAATCGTCAGGAGCCTTTATATTTTCTTCCTCTCAACAGCACCTATATCTCGTACTAAATCCCAGACTCACTTGTCCGCGTCCCCACGTCCCCTACAGCGCTGCACAGCGCTCAAGCTGGCAGGCTGTCGACAAGTCCTGCGGCACTGGCCAGTTTCTATTGCCGGAATGCGTGGCTGGCCAGCAAACATACGTTGGGTAGCGAGCACAATGTACAATGCACAGATTACGAAGAACAGCCGTTGATTTCAGGCACCAGTACAGCATGCATTTAAGTTACACAGCCGAAGGCTACCAATTGAATGTTAAATCGCTGAAAGCAAAAGCAATGAATCGGAGAAACATGGGAAGTGCTGCGCAAAACACGCTCGCAGTTCCTAAGCATTCACCTACCCGGAACAGCTGTATAATAAATCCATACAAGCAAACTCTTTCTTTTTTTTGGCTTCTCCATGGTCAGTTATATGAGCGCGCCACACGAATCATACCTGAAAAAGCCAGGGCAAAACAAAAAGCAACTGCAAACGTTGCTTATTTGTTGTAAGATTCGAGTTACAAATAGTTGAATCAGTGTACAGACGCGTAAAAGTCGAGCGGCTATTGATGATGAACCTCGTAGCACGGGGCGCCAAAGGAAGGACACTTGGAGAAGAGCGCGGCTTTCAGATACCCCTGAAAACAGCGGTCAACCGGCGGATTCCGCGGACAACACTGCCCGCTAGAGCGGCGGGCGTCGCGGAAGAGCAGCGGTAGCAGCGGCGCATGTGAAACGAACGCGCGTCCGCGCGTCCTCCCGCCGCTAATCGCTGCGACCGCCGCCGCTCGTTCGCTCGCATGTGAAACAGGCTTGAAACATCGCAGATATTCTGCAGAAATGCTGCAGAAATTTTGCAGACGTTCCTCAGATATTATGCAGGCATGCTGCATCCTGTGCGGCTACAAATGCCGCTCTGCAGACTTTCTGCGGAACGGGCGTACCAATCACCTACTCCGAGAAGACAGAGGGCGACAGAAAGTTTGTCACTTGTCTTCATATATTCTGTATCGCGGCTGACTAATGGTCTGTAGAATTTCTGCAGATAGGGCGCAAGTTATTTTTTTTCTTGTAAGGCGGGAATGCGGCTGAATTTCTCGCTTCTCGCCGCAGGCTGCACGGATAAACCATGATCGGTTGTTGAGCCGTTGGCTGCTCCAGCTCGAGCGTGAAAGGCAAACGCACGAATAGATTGCCACGAAACGAAAAAAAGGAAAATGAGGTGGACCGCGGCTGTGAAGAGAGCCACGGCGACAGGTAGCCTTTGAGTATGCACGGAACGTTACATCAAGAG